GTAAGGACTTAAACCTCTTCTTACGGGTCTGCTTAAAGCTGTGGTGCTGTATTGGCTGTGCTCCTCTAAATTGCAAGTTTTAGGAGAAAGGTGAAGAGCTGCTTAGCTTTCAGAAACTGTCCTTTGAATCTGTGTTATGCTGTACATTGGCCTTGATGGGTGCTCGTGCCTACCTTGTGTTTTCTTTTATCTTTCCTGGCCTTGGCAGGATAAGAAGGGTCTGTCTACAGCTATTCTGATAGTCTACTTGGACAGTGCCTTCAACCTTCCAGTAAGTACAAAGTACATGCAGGCAGCCTTCTCTCCTAATGTTTTTTGGTTTTTTTAAAGCCTACAAATTGATTGATTTTAAATACTCTTTTACTAATTCAGAAAAACCACTTTGAATATTCGAATGGTGAATGTGGAGCAAAGAAGATAAAAAATAACAAGTACCTCAAGGTAAAATTTATATTCTTTTCCCATGCTTGCAAAACAGCATTCTGGATTGTGCAGTATCATAGCAACTGAAACTAGCTGTAGTTGAAAAGAAATGATCTCTTGCCCCCTCAGAATCTAAATGACCAGGGGTTCAAAATAGTGATTGAAAAACCCACCCTCAGCCCAGTAAAGGTCTAGGAGGTCCAAGGGAAAATGCAGCACAAAACCACTTGTTTGTGGAGTGGGTTGTCTTTATTTTTATATTATACTTTGGACAGGGACTCCAGATATCAGACCGAGTCATGGTGTGCTTTCTGATGCTGCAGAGTTTCTTTCCATGCTGAGCTGTTCCAGCTTGACCTCCCACACTGGGCTGAGAGGAACGTGTTTGTGTAACCTTCATGTCCATGGGAGACCTGACCACCAGAGTTCTTCCCCCTCAGTTTTAGAGCTATTCAGAAGCCACTCTGTCATTTGTACCTCCTTGCTTCTGTTTACTTTTCCCTCCAAATACTGCATTTTGTTACTGGGATGTAAATGGTGGGTATAAGGAAGAATGTCTTTCTCACTTTTTTCCTGAAAAAGCCACATGTAACCACAGTGCTGAGCAACAGATAAAGCTTCCCGTTCTCTCTGAGTGACTCCCCTCCTAAACACAGTCTTTACAGATTAGATGAGTTACCAGCACTGTGATATGCATCACGTGTGATAGTCCTTAATTCTGGACTTCCTTGTATCCACTGTGTATGCAATGGTGTTCCAAGACCAAATCCTCACCCTTCTCTAGCGTTGGTGCAGAGGAGCACAGTACAAGAGGTTCAGTATTACTGCTTCTGGAAAGGAATTGTTACTTGATGCTGAAGACTCGCTTCTAGCTGCTTTACAGCAAGTCCTGATCTGTGGAAACCAATTCTGAGAGGCCTGTTTCATTCAGGAATGATGAAGACTTCTCACTGAGTCTTCAATTCTCTTCTGGTTCCTCCCAGCTTCTGACAAACTTTTAACTGCTCACCTATTGAAACCTAAATACATAAAACTTTTGGTTAAATATGTAGCCTTGGTGGTAGAGGGTAAGACTGCTGTGTTACGGCTGGAGTCCTTCAGATGTCCCATATCTGAAAACTATAGTCAGCTTTCTAGCAACTTTTTTCAAGTAAGAGCAGTGGTTTGATATTGCTTACTTTTTAACTATGAATGTATATTCTTTTTTTTTTCCAATTTTCCCCCCCCCCATGTATTAAATGGCAGAAGATGGAACGAGAACCTTCCTCCTTTGTCCTGCTCACAGTAGGAAACAAGACTCAGAAAAGCAAGGTGAGACTGTTGGACTGTCTGCTTTCCTTAAATATTTTATGGGTGGCTATGTCCAAGTAGCCCCTAGGAAGGGTAAGGCTAGTGAAGCTGATGTGAAGAGCTGTAGTTATGGGGATAACTGCAGAGGCTGGGATGGGGGGAGGCTTTGTTCCTTCCACCTGCTCCATCCAGAAACTAGGTTCTGTTGTATTTTTACTTCTTTTTTGCTTTCCCTTTTCCCCACCACATCACCTGCTTCTCCCAAGCTAGGCCAGACTTCCTGCTTTCTCCTGCTCCTTTCCCCTTACTGCCAGCACTTGTGGCGTGGTGGAAGCAGCTGATTTATGGAGCAGCCTAAGCCAGGGCCCCCGGGGGTGCTTCCCATGCTCTTTGATCCTTGAAGTGCTGAAGCTGTGCCCTCCTGCTCTCCCACAAGCTCTGCACCCCTCAGACTGCCCCTCTAGCTTTCCTGCCCTTCCCCACCAGCTCGCTGCAGCTTTGGGAGCTGGCTCTGGGTGCCTGGATGAGAGGTGGGTGGGAGGGAAGGAGCGGTGCCTTGGTGCAGGTGAGGCAGGCTGCTGGTCCAGGCAGCACTGGTTGGGGCCAGCTGCAGCTCACCAGACTTGTTCTTCAGCATTTTCACACCCCACAGAACTTGTTCTGGTTTTGCCAGACACTGTGCTTTCGCGGGCTTCTGACCTGGAAATTTCACGCTTTCCACGCAGCTGGAGTGAAGTATCACTGAATAAAATGAGAGGGTCACCATGACCCTCTCTAATCACTGCCATGGTGTTGCTGCTTAAAAATTAAGTTAACGGATACGTCACACTCTTCTTGTTGCAGACCTGCAATTTCAGCAAAGATCCCACCTGGGGCCAGGCTTTCACCTTCTTTGTCCACAGTGCTCATTCCCAGTCACTCCATGTCGAGGTGAGAGAAAAGCCTTTTCTTTGAAGACTGAGTGTGTATCTGTAGAAAGAGACCTCTTCTATGGTGGGTGTGATCTCAGTGCTGGTTGTTTCTGTGTGCTTGTACTGCAGTCCTCCTGCTTAAAAAAGGGGGAAGAAGCACCTATTGTTGCACAGGTGATTCTCTGCTAGGTGGTGCTGGTATCTACCTTTGCTGTAGCATCATGTAACACATAATATCTTAGTTCAAAATGTGGAACATTGCTGGGTGCAAAGGAGATTTTATAGAGGTCCGTGTGTAGTAAAGCCATGAATGCTTTGCTGTCAGAAATGGCAGCCTTTGTAATCCTCAATCAGAGCCCTCTCTTCGCCTTGTATTCTGGCTCTTTAAGAAATTCTGTATCTCGCTAGCATATGTTGCACTCACAGCCACTCAGCTACGGAAGCAGATTTGAACTTAAGTGTGTTGAGGTTAAAAAGGCCGAAAAAACTATTATCTAAAAAGCTTGTAAAGGTTTAGATGAGTTGTCATTCCAACTGCCTGACACATTTTCACCAGATCAAGCAAGGAAAGTCAAGTAAATCCCAGGGGCTAGTTTTTCTGCTAAGACAGTTCCTTCCCTGAATAGTTAGAAATGGGATTTTTACTCCAGACATGCTAATTTGTTGCACTCTTGAAATATTGGTATCACCCATTTGGAAGTAGCCATACTTGATAGTATGTCCTGTAGTAAGTAAATGAATTTTAGTCTGCCTGAAATACCTTCTTGCTTTGCTGTTCTGGTGGTGTGCTTTCCAGTTTGATACTTAATAATTTTTTTTCATTTACAAAAAAACCACTAGATAAAAGACAAAGATCGGGATAGTGCCCTGGGAACTTCAGTGGTATGTCTCTCCCACTTACTTAAGGACCCAAACATGACTGTGGATCAGAGATTTCAGCTGGATCATTCCAGTCCAGACAGCTTCATTAAGATGAAACTTGTGTTGCGGGTAGGTTGTTCTTTTCCATATTCACTCAGCCTCCACAGTGGAAGCATCCGATTCTAACCAGGCAAAAGAGACAAAAGGTGCATGTGGAGAAACGCAGCTTTGCTTCACAGATGAGTAGAAAGCAGAAGTGTGATGAGATCTTTAAGTGCAATTAAGAGTGTGTGGTGGAGCTGAGAGGAGGTATCCCTGAGGCTTCCTAAAATTCAGTGCAGTACCATTGCCGAAAATCTTCTAATGACAATAAAGAGTTGGACTGAGAGAATCTAAGCTGGGAAATCAAAGCTGCTAAACAGTAAGAGGCTCATGCTTAGGATTTGTTTTCTCATTGTGCTCTGGATCAGTGTTTAGACACTTTTAAATATGCACAGGGTAAGACAAAGGAAGAGAACATGCAGTGAATCCCATAGGCCTCTTTCATCTCGAATGGCAGATTCCTGCTCTTAGAGTTTTGTGGTGAAATTTCATGCTAGGTGGTAATGCTGGCATTAACCCCAGTGCGTTGGGAGCAGCACTCATTTCTCTGTCTTGTGATCTTTAGGCTTTGAATGTTGAAGAACCTGATCCACAAAGAGTCAAGGCTGGTGTCAATGCCTCGAAGCAAGGTCCTGTGCATGTCATGGAGAAGGGTGGAAACGAGCAAAAGTTTGCATCTGCACCAAAACCAGAAGCTTCAAAAGTACCTCCTGTGAGCAAAGACTCTGCAGCACTTGAATCCCTGCCAAAAAAGGACAGCAGAGAAGACTTGGACACAAATGACAGTTCGGCAGCACCAAGTGAAACTGATGTTGGCCTTAATGAGACAGAGCATGAGCAAAATCCAGAGCATCACCCACTGTCAGTGCAGCATACGAGAGTGGCAGTAGCGCCCACGTTGCCAGTCGTACAGGAACTGAGGCTTGCGCCCAGTGTTGCTTCACTGGGTTCTCTGCCTTCTTCTTGCTTTGAATTAAGTAGCAGCAATCTGGACCTTCATAAGTAGGTGGTTCTTGCAGCTGAATCGTTCTTCTTTTGGGAAGGTTTAGGTTTTATAGGTCGCTGTTGCATACAGTTGAATTCCAGGCTTCTAAGTTATTTGGAGTCTTGGGTCTCATATAACCTTACGGAGAGAACTGGCCCAAGTATTCCAGTCAACAGCAAAGTAAATTACAGGGTGACTATCAGATCAGGTGTAAAGTAAAAGCATTCCCTCCTCTGGCTCTCCTAAGAGGTGCTGCATGTGTTGGCTTTATTTTAAGAGGCTCTCACCTAGAGTATCGTGGGTCCCATGACACTCATGATTTTAGCAATGAGGGATTGGAAGTCTGAGTATCCCACTTCTGTAAAAAATATAAACTCTTCATAAGCATAACTGGCTGCTTAAAGTTATGGGAAGTGGTGGAGTCACCGTCCCTGGAGGTGTTTAAGGAAAGGCTGGATGTGGCACTTAGTGCCATGTTCTGGCCGTTGTGATGGTGTTGGGTCATGGGCGGGCCTTGATGAGCTCAGAGGTCTTTTCCAGCCTCAACAGTTCTGTGATTCTGTGTGATTCTGTTTTACCCAACAAGTTTTGAGACTCTCATAATGCTGTGAACAAAAGTTTTGTGGAGAGGTGTGCTTGTGCTAAGTGTGAGGCTGTAGGTAGCCTGCTTTGTAGAGGACAGAGCTGGATCTTTCTCTCCTGGGCCACAGAATGGAGCTACCGGAATCCTTAATGAACTGAAATAGAAAAGAAGTTCCATCTGAATTAAGAGAGCATCAGAGCAGTTATGAATCTGAACATCAAACCCAGCTCCAGCTGTTCAGTCTGGACTAGCAGATTCTTTAGCTCTGAGCAGGGCCTCATTTAGAAACCATCTTTAAGCAATATTTTGGATTTGAAACCATTTCAATAATGTGTGGAAAGAGATATAAAAAGGTCCTATTTTGTGTGTAGAGGCACCCTTGCAGGAGCTGTGTAACATGCTAACATGTACTTTGTTGCTCCATCTACTGCAGGCCAGCTGGGCACTTTTTTGGCCATTTATGTTGTGGGACCAAAATGGGTTACCTGTACAGATGGCCCCCTGAGCAGTGCTGGCACTAATGGGAGTGCCATTTCTGTGCAACCTCTGGGGCCCAGCTGCTTTCCAAGTAGCAACGTTTAGGATGCCAGACAGAAGAACAGTGCGCTGAAAGCTCGCTTTAGCTGAAAATGCATCACCAGCTTCTGAAGCTCGTGTGTGGTTTCGCGTTGATAGGGCTGTGCGTGTGATCTGTTAAATACGTGTATTTAAAAGCTTTGACTGTGCGACTGTCTTACAGCGGGATGGAAATGCCTCTGGGAGAGATTCAGCTCACCGTGCGCTACGCTTCAGTACGGCAGAGCCTCGTCGTGCTGGTGAACAGCTGCAGGTAATGCTGGTGTTTGCTTGTGTATGTCTGTAAAGGGAAGGGCAGGAGCCTCTGAGCTTGTGTTGGACATTCAGCAAAGCTGGAGCAGAGGCACGTGCAGCACAAGCTGCCCAGCTGAGAGCCTGAGCCTTGGCTGACTCGGATCTGTGCAGCCTGACTAAGCCCTGGCGGGTGGAAATCAGCAGCTCTGGCCAGTGCCAGCAGCAGGTCTGTGAGAACAGGCACTGCAGTGCTCGCTGCCCTGGAGATACTTTAACTTCCATCCACCCCACACTTCCGCTGAACAGCACTGACAACTCATGCATGTCTTGGGATGTCGTGATAGGCATCGTGATAAGGATTGACACCTATGGCCGAATTTGTAAACGTTAATTTACAAACCCTGACAAGAGGCTGCACAGTAGTGAAAATTTTAACTTCACATCCTTTCAAATTTTATTTGCTTATTTTTCTACTCCCAAGATAAATGTTTTTGGCCTGTGAACCCATAAGGAGTTGGTCTGATTATAAGAGAAAAGGTGTTAAAACACACAGTGGGAGAACCTGCCTTGCTTGTCAACACTGCATTTGTTTTAACAGAAACTTAGTACCCTCTTCCAATCGTGGAGTAGATCCATATGTTCGTATATACCTGCTTCCAGATAGAAGATGGGCAAGCAGGAAGAAGACATCCGTTAAGAAAAAAACTCTGAACCCCCAATACGATGAGAAGTAAGAAAATGTTAATTATGATTGCTGCTGAAATAGCTACCATCTCTGGGTAACGAGAGGGCTCACAGAAGGTGTGCTCCCGTTGCTCTTAAGGACTGTCTTGTGAACATGTGCACGTCTTCTGAGAGCAGCTTTTAAGAGGTGGTTTTAATCCCACATTTAGAGGAAAGTACACATGTGAAAATATGTGAATACTGGGTGATCCTGGGTGGCTCGGCTTCTTCCTTGGTTGGGTCCTTTCTGTGTTTGTCAGTATAGGTTAGAAATAGAGAATAAAATTTAAAATAGTCCATCTTCACACTCAAAACACTAGAGTTGTGGATTTTGCTTCTGCCTATTCTCATGTAACCCCACATGAAATGCTGTTAGGAACAGCACCTCTTTTTCCTCATCCCCTGTATTGACGTGTCCTGTACGTCCTCAGTTACGTACAACAGGTTGAGCAATACTTTGCTCCAAAACACAGTACCTGTCTCACAGCTCTGACTTGAGGAAAAGCTATTTGGGTGGGCAGATCTTAAATGGTTTAGCATGGACAAAACTCACTTGACATTAGATGAGGTGTGCCAGAAGCATGAGTCAGAATCATTAAAAATTTAATTGCCACGGGTTTCAACCTTTCTCTTAATGTGGTACAAACCTGCTTTGTAAACTTGGCGGCTTGGCTCAGCCATTTCCTCTGAGTAATAAAGGTTGCACGGAAAACATGCTGATCTTCCTTGATGGTGAGAAATGATGGTAAATAGCATTTTATCATGGCTGCATGTCTTCCTCCTCCCCCCCGGCTCAGTGAGCGGTCTGAACAGCAATGACATAGTCGTTCATGAGCCTGGAAGAGATTTCTTACAACATGAATAAAATCTAAGTATAGAATTCCCTTTTCTTTGTCTTCCTTCACTGTTAAAGTTCTGGCCACTGCTACTGTATTCCATCACTGTATTCTGGCCACTGATGCTTACAGGAATTTAATTTTTGACTGAAGTCTCTCGTTTCAAAACTTTCAGGTTTGAATTTTTTGAATCTTTGGAAGATGTCAAGAAAAGGACACTGGACATTGCAGTGAAAAACAGCAAGCCATTCATTTCACAGGACAGGAAGGAGCTGGGGAAGGTAAGTTTAAAGACGCTACACTACTGATTTAATAGAGAGCTGAGTAGTCCGAGCCATTCCTGTAATCCTGAAATGCCATTCTAGTAGCTAAACCTCAGTAAATAGGACTATCAGTCTGGAAAGAATTTTTCTGCAGGGCTGAGCCTGGCCAACGCTGGTATTCTGGGAGCGCAGGAAGCTCCTTTTCCCTTGAGCCTGAGCTGCAGCCTTAGAAGCTGAAAGTGGGTCTGACTTGGGAGGAGTGCTGGCTTTGCTAATCAATTTGTGTGCTGAATAATACACAGAGAAATGAAATTTGCTTTTTAAAGGTGCGGATTGACTTGTCACAGGAGGACTTAATAAAAGGTTTTGCACAATGGTAAGTTTTGGTCTCCATACTTCCAAACCCTGCCGATCGCTTTGCTGGGGGTTTGTGTGACTGCGGCTGGAGTGCTGGTCAGGGGGCTCGGTGTTTTGGTGGGGAGAAGAGCATTTGACCTGCAAACGTGGGACCAACTTGAACTAATCTAGTAGTTTTATCCAAATGGTGTGTTAACCCAGTTGCTAATGTGTAATAGCTGCCCTGTGAAACAGTTTTAATAAGAGGCCTATATGTCAATTATAGTCCTCAGCATATTTTAAGTTACCATAAAAGCCACTGGGACACATAAGTGAAAGAATTATGCTTATTAAAGTAACCTTGCAAGAAATTTTAACTTGGATAAAGATCTTAACTAACTTAATACTCTCATCAGCAATACATATATATGATAAAACGTTAATTACAAAGCATTTATTGAAACTTATTACAATAAGCCACCTACAGTTTTGCTTGTATGTTCAGCGTGGTTCTGAATTAAACCTTAAGCAATGGTCTGAGGCAAAGATGAAGAACCAGGGGGTTTTCCCTTCTACATCTATAGTCAATGGCAGTAGCTCTTCCTTCTTTCTTCTTCAATGGAGCCCCAGGAATGTGGCGTGGGTAGTCCAGGGGCTCACCACCCGCACAGGCAGCGAGCCAGGGCGGGCCAGCAGGAGAGGAAAACCATGTTCCCCTGGCCTGGCTGCGGTCATGGCTCAGGTACAGATACAGCAGTTAAGGGAGTAGGAGAAAAAGGACGCATCCTGTTCCTGGTAAAGAGATGAAGTTTGAGGTCATGTCCACAGCCTCCTTTGCCCTGCCACCTGTGAAGCACAAGCAATAAAGGAGCCCGAGCTCGCTCTCTCTGCTGTGCCAGCAAAAGCTTTAAAGAAAGTCTTAACCACTGTAATTACTTACTGTGTCTGTCTTGCAGGTATGAGCTGACAAGGAACAGACGCAAGAAAATCTGATTTCTTCTCATGTACATAAGTTACTAATTTTTCAACTTTATATGAACATACATTATCTCTTTTGTAATTAATGTGTTTTGAACAGTCACTGCAAATTTTAAGCAGTCTCCAGCTCAGAACATGTAGATTTAATGATCCTACTTAGAGATTAGCTCTCACTGAAGTAACAAACAAATGAACCACCGCACACTGGGAGTAATTTGTCCCTAAGTAATAAGCCCTTTATTTTTCCTGTTTCTGGCATGTCTCCCCAAAGATGAATATTCCCCCTTAAGTACAAATACTCTCTTCAGGAAGTGTTGTACCTGGAGATATTTTAGACTGCCAGCTCAGTGTCATTACTTTGCTTGGCAGTTTCATTTCCCCAGGATTCTATTCATGTTGTTTTAACATGAAATCATTGTACTTTTAAAAGAGTAATTTTTTAAACAGCATTCTCCAGCTGTTAAGGCTACAGAACCCATTGAAAGAAACTGTTTAAGTTGTCGGCGACATGGACAGTGGCATCGAGTGCACCCTCAGCAAGTTTGCCGACAACACAAAGTTGGGTTGGCCCAGGCCTATCTCCTGAAGTTTAACAAGGCCAAGTGGAAGGTCCTGCACCTGGGTTGAGGCAATCCCAAGCACAGACACAGGCTGGGCAATGGATGGATCGAGAGCAGTCCTGGGGAGAAGGATTGGGCATGTTGGTGGATGATAAGATCAACGTGAGCCAACAGCCCAGAAAGCCAGCTGTGTCCTGAGGCGCATCAAGAGCGGCGCGACCAGCAGGTCGAGGGAGGTGATTCTGCCCCTCTGCTCTGCCCTTGTGAGACCCCACCTGGAGTACCGCGTCCAGCTCTGGAGCCACCCGTACAAGAAGGACATGGAGCTGTTGGAGCAAGTCAGAGGTCAGACGGTCAGAGGGCTGGAGCACCTCTCCTGCGAGGACAGTTGGTGTTGTTCAGTCTGGAAAAGAGGTGGCTCCGGGAAGACCCGATAGCAGCCTTCCAGTACCCGAAGGGGGCCCGCAAGAAGGCTAGGGAGGGACTTTTTACAAGGGCCTGTAGTGACAGGACAAGGGGACGAGCATAGGTTTAGACTAGTTCTTTATCCTGAGGGTGGTGAGGCACTGAACAGGGTGCCCAGCGAACCTGTGGGTGCTCCATCCCAGAAAGTGTTCAAGAACAGGTTGGATGGAGCCTTGAGGGAGATGTCTCTGTCATGGCAGGGGGGTTGGAACTAGATGATCTTTGAGGTCCCTTCCAACCCAAATCATTCTACAATTCTAACTGCATTTGGTGTTTTTTTTTGGAAACTAAGGAACTGATATTCCACTGTTCAGAAGTATTTTAGCCGACTGTGGCTGCAGGTGTGTATATAACAAGCTTCCAAAAGCAAGGAGATTTACCAAGATGTCATTAATGTTTTAGTTTGTGATGCCTTAATGTGTTGTGTTCTTTCTTACAGTACATTTTAAAATATTGTAAACCTTGATACTAAAGTATTCTGCCTGAGTAACAGCAGAGTTTTGTAAACTAAGCTTTATTAATATCAGAGCAAAAAATACCAAAATATTTTTGGAAGCTTGGTGTACTTGTTTCTGTACAATAAACTTTTAACTGTCTTGCATAAGAAACTCCATCTATGCCTTTCTAAAACTGACTTTCAAATTAGGACCGTGGCAGCTTCAAATCTGTGCTAGGCAGAAACCCACAAACCATCACCTGAAGCAAGGTGCAAGTATTTTTGTCCTGAATTAATGTAATCTAGCCTGCCAAGGTCCATATCCAGAAAGAATACTCACGGAATAACAATTTGTTTACATCCGAAACTGATCTGAAAATGTAAACAACATTTTAAAACAGGTTCTCCAGAAAACCAAGATAGGCAGGCGATGAAAGCGTGATGGCTAAGGCAGTTAGAGCACCTTTATTTTGTGCTTTCTGTGTCTGCAACATCCAAATCCTGGGTTCAGCTTCCCAGACTGATACAAAGTGGCATGGAGCAGACTAGCTGAGAGGGATTATAGGAAGGTTTTCTTGTCAGCTAGTTTCAGAATGAAACAAGAAGTAAGAAAAAGGTAAGAATGCAGCATTTATTTATGTCAAAAACTCTGCAACAGTTAATTAAGGTAACAGAGGTTAGAGGTAGCTGTAACGCCATATGCATCAACAGGTACAACAGGTAAGACAAATCTTGCTAGAAAAGACCAGATTAACTCTTAAGTAGCCACCAATTTCAAATTTCGCACAGTAGGCAAAATATCATCCACGTTACTGATCTCTGAAACAGAATAAAAAGTAACATGGTTAAGATTTGTGTACCTAAAACATCCTCAGGTTCAGCCAAAATTCCAACTTAAATGTTAGAAATATAACTGGTGGACAAGAAAAAACCCTCCTCCCGCCTTTTAATGCTTTTGAGTGTTTTTCCAATTTGGCTTATCCTACGGGTAACAGGACTGAATGTATGCAACCCCATGTTCAACAAAAACAGAGTATTTTCATCACTTCTTGGGGAAAGATGGAGAGTGAGGCAAAACTTAACACTCCTCTTGCATCCTCTTTGTGTTTTAGCACACCGGGAGCAAACAAAACACTTGTTAGCTATTTAAAGTTCTAGGTAGAAGCGCTGGCATGAAGATAATTACAACTGGCGCAAATATTACTCACCTAGAAGACAGAGCAAATCTTGAATGAGAGCTTGAAATGGTGGAAAGAAGCACTCGTGTTCTTCTAGCTTGCTGATGATACTGAAATGTGCAATTGAGACAGTCAGGTACAAGGCACAAGGGCTTTTTAAGTTCATCTTGTTGGCTGTTTTGTTGTTACATCATAACTTTCTGAAAGCCCCGCTACTTACTAGTACATAAAACCATCTACACCAAAAATGCGTTCTCAGGTTCTGAAGTGTGCAGCCAACAACTGTTAGCTGTCCAAAGAGGATCTCAAATGTCACTATTTGTGCCCTGCTCTTCCTTTCCTACTTGCATGGCACCAGGTAATTTTTGGACTGGAACATGAATCTTATCTATGCTGAATACTGCCTGGGGGGTGGCAGGTATAACTGCCTCAGAGGTGGAGCAAGGAATATTTTGTAAGCAGCTATTCTGTTAGAACTGTGAGAAGTGCAGAAAGGCTGAGGGACTTACTGAGTATTGTTAACTCAGCCTGTGTCAGACTTGCTGCCCGCCGCAGTTCTTTTTTAGCATGTTTGCCAAGCGCGTGCTGGATGCCAGCTCTCCCAGCCTGCTGCCGAGTACCTGGATGTTGTCAGCTGGTGAAGATGTAACAGGATTTGTCCAGTTCCCAAAACATTCGTGGGCAGTTTGGGTCATATGTTCTCTTAGCAACACTTCAATATTACAGCTCAAACCCTGCAGCACTTTCTCCTCCCCACCCACGTGCAGTATTTGCTTTGTCTCCTCATGAAACACACATCTCAGTAAGGCTTATTTGATTCTTTTATCCACACAAACCAACAAGGTGTTTTGGAGCTGTCTGGCCTTAATTTTTCTTTTTGCCAGCTTTATCCTCTTGAAAAATATTCAAGATTTGTTTTGTGTGGGATAGTAGTAACGCCTTTCCTCTCACAGCTCCCTGACTTCATAACACGATTTAAGTTTCCTACAAGTATCTGTTTTAGCCAGTTCTCTCAATTACTAAATTTGACGTTTGAAGAAGGTTGCCAGTGGAACAGAGCCACATACCTGTAGATGTCTTGGGTCCCCAGAAGCTGCTGTACCTGCTCAGTCACATTCTCATTAATTACGTCACACAGTTTCCCAACAGTATCCACTACCATTGTGGGTGGAGCTGAACTGTCTGGAAAAACAAAACACTTCATGTTTCTTGTAACAGTAACAACAGGAAAGTGTTTTAGACACAATCCGATTCTTGCATGTGCCCAGGTATTATTTGGGTTTCACACATCTAGGCATACAAGTTCCATCATCCACAGAACAAAACACCTATGGTCAGAAACAAACTAAGGTTAGCTAGGAATGGTGAATCTCTCACTAATCCTTTAGTGGCTAAAAAAACTTGTCAGAGCTGTGTGCTTTCACAGCAGCGATGGTGCTGAAGTGCACCCTACAACAACTGGAAATCAGCAAACTAGAATTATATATGGTGAGAGGGTTATTTATTAGGTTCCTGTAACCCAGCAGAAGTAGAGGAGCTAGACCGCCAATGGGACCTGCTCCATCAATCCTTCAATAGCCAGTTTTGGTATTTTACCTGCTTTGACTGCTGTGACTGAGGGTAACAGGACCCTGCCCTTTTCTCCCTCAATTTCAGAAGAACTAGCCTTGGAGAAGGCATTCTCTGAGCTCTGCTGGTTTGCCTTTGTTAGGGAGACACGAGGCTTCCCGCCTCCTGTGCTGCTTCGCTCCTCCAGCACGGCTCCCAGCCAGGCAGCCCAGGAGCTGTGGGGCTGTACGCCCGGCGGCGCAGCCAAACGCCTAAACCCAAGAGCAGCGGCAGCTGCTGCTCTCCAGAAGTACAAACCAGAACAGAACAGGTACTGGGAAGTAACCCGGTACTTTGGTTTTGACATTTGACAACTTTTTTAAGTTTAGATGGAAGTTTCTGAGGATTGGAAATAACTACACTGGAATGAATTACTGAGTAGAAATTACGCAGAGTTTGAGTTATTTTTTATCTTTCAAGCAGCGAATGAAAGATGTTCAAGAATTATAAAGTCAACTCACAGGAAACAAAGCTTTGTTTAAAAAAAAGATAATTAAAAATTCAATTTCCTCTGTTATTCCCTTCTTCTGCCTATTTCTCAGCAACTGCTAAAGGCATACAAATAACGAGGTTCTGCTATTCAAACTGCCAACTGACAGCAACCTATTTTTATCTTCACGGTGAAGAATATACTCAGTTTACTCATTTCTCAACAGCTCAACTTATTTTCTATTAAGAGATGAACTTCTCACTTGTCATCTTCCTTTGGAAATGGTCTCAACCAATGCTTGGCCTTTACCTAGTTCCAGGAGCTCATGGATATTTCTC